CCAAATCGAGCTCTTTAGCATCAACTCAACTCGCCGTGTTTGGACCAGGAGGAATGCTGCCTATGACCCCAAGAACACCATCCCAACTGTCAAACATGGTTGTAGAAACATTCTGCTTTGGGGGTGTTTTTCTACTAAAGGGACAGGACAACTGAACCACATAAAAGGGACGATGGACAGGGCAATGTACCATCAAATCTTGGAAGAAAACCTTCTTCCCTCAGCCATGGCATTGAAAATGGGTCGTGGATGGGTGTTCCAGCATGACAATGACTCAAAACACACGGCCAAGGCAACAAAGGAGTGGGCTCAAGAAGAAGCACATTAAGGTCCTGGAGTGGCCTAGCCAGTCTCCAGACCTTAATCCAATTGAAAATCTGTGGAGGGAGCTGAAAGTTCGAGTTGCCAAACTTCAGCCACCAAACCTTAATGACTTTGAGAGGATCTGCCAAGAGAAGTGGGCCAAAAATCCCTCCTGAGATGTGCGCAAACCTGGTGGCCAACTGCAGGAAACGTCTGACCTCTGTGATTGCCATTTGAATTTTTTGTTGCTATTCTGTTTCTCAGTGTTACAATATACCTACCATTCGATTTTTAGACTGATCATTACTTTGTGAGTGGGCAAACATTCAAAATCAGCAGGGGATCAAATACATATTTCCTTCACTGTAGGTATAGTTGATCCAGGGAATATCCGATTGCCTCTCGGGGGATCAGGAAGGAATTTTGTTCACCCTGCAGGAGAAAATTAGATCATGCTTTGCTGGATCTATTGCCTTCCTCTGGATCAATTGTGGGTATAGGATTATAACTTTTTTTTTTTTTTTTATGGTTGAACTGGATGGACTTTTTTTCTTTTTTCAGCCAGACTATGTACCTATATAAAGTGGAGAGGGTTTAGGCACTTGTTTTTATTGCAGTCTGTGCCCACATTATGGAGATTCACCCTCTCTATTTGTCCTGTTTACCATTATCATCATAAGTGAACGTAAAATAAAAACCAAATTTTGGGCTGTCCCCAGAAAAGTAATAGAGGGGAAATTTTTCAATGGTGACCTGGGCCTCCAGGAGTTCTCTTAATTTGCCAAGATTTTTCTTCCTGTTTTGGCTATGGGACAGGAAGTGGAGGTAAATCTCTCCAATGGGATACAGATGGCAAAAAATAAACGGCCAGGGGTTATAACCCTCCTTTACTTTCCTCTAGTTCTACTTTAAGTGATTGAACACTTTTTTTTGCATCAAGATTAAGAACCACATCCTTCTCACCCAGCCTTTGGAGTACAGTATGTCAATGCCATATGTCCTTCTAAGACCACAAGGACTCGATGCCATTGCTTAGCTTCAGAAACTCAATTTCAAATGCAAGAGATGTGAAACAGGTTTAGTTTGGCCATTGAAAAGCATGTCTGTAAAGATTATAATTCATCCACAGTGTGGTATAGCTAGTATTTAGTTATGCACATTCAACTGGACTTATCTGAATGTTGAAGATGTTTCACTCCCATTCCAAGTGGCTTCCTTAGTTCTAATGAGTGTCATTAAACATTTCCCAGTATTTATAACCACATGGGCACATAGTCATCTTAATCCAATCACCATGGTGTCCCAGTTGTTTATTACAAGTATTGCCACCAATTTACATATTGGAAATTCAGTCCCTGCCCTTAAGATGCTTACAATCTAAGGTCCCTATCTCACATACTTTACGCATACTAAGGATGACTTAGACAGGAGCCAGTTAACCTACCAGCATGCTTTGGGAGTGTTGGAGGAAAGGGGAGTACCTAGAGGAAACCCAAAAAATCACAGGGACAACATGCAAACTCCATGCAGACAAGGACATGGTTGGGATTCAAACCACATACCTAATGCTGCAGTCATAATTGCTAACCACTAGGCCACTGTGCTTTGACATTGAAGCAGATGTTGATTGTCCAGGAATGTAGCTGTCCTGAAGGTAACATATTCTCATTATTCTTACCCATCATCCTTTCAGAGTACAAAATGGCTGCCCCTTTGATGTCAGGTAGGGTCCCACTTTAATAATGAGTACTTCTCACCTCTATGAAAAGTCTCTTAATAACAGAAGTTACTTTCACCTGAATATAAATAGCAGCAAAATGTGCGGAGCAAATACATTACTGAAATAACTCCAGCACAAGCTGTTATTGCAAACCGATCCTTTTATTGGTGTAAGGCAAAGGGCTCTATCTGTTCCATCTGTATTCATTTTATATCTGCTTCACATTTTGCAGTCTGAAAACTACTGAGTGCATGGGAACAATGCTGGCTGGGCAAAAGCTATCGTTCTGCAGAGCTGCATTCTGCAAGCATTGGCCATTACAGGGTGATAGAGGGAGGTGAGAGACAGCAGATCTGCCGGCTTATCAGTTGGTTAAAATATAGGTGTCCTTTACGCTTGGTAGCATTTTCTGAGATGGTAATATACAGGCAGTGCAGTGTTTTCCCAAAGAAAAGCTATATATATTAACAACAAAATATATATTAACGTACTGTACATATGCGGTGGTACTAGCATAGAAGGGACCTGCATGGTCCATCAGTCATCCATGGTCCATCAACCATCCAGCTATAGGTATGCCTGCTGCACTACCTGTTCTTGGGCTGTAGAGAATGCCTTTTGGGCAGCACAGTGGCTAAGGGGTTAGCACTTCTGCTTGGCAGTGCTAGGGGCTTCAATTTACAGTTGCAAGAAAAAGTATGTGAACCCCTTGGGATTACGTGGAGTTTTGCATGAATTGGGCATAAAATGTGCTCTGAACGTCATCTAAGTCACAACAATAGAAGAACACAGTCTGCTGAACATAATACTACACAAACATTAGATGTTGCCATGGTTTAATTGCACATAACATGTAAACATTCACAGTGCAGGGAGGAAAAAAGTATGTGAGGCCCTAGCTTAATGACTTCTCTCCCAGAGCTAATTGGAGCCAGGAGTGAGCCAACCTTGACTCCAATCAGTGTGATGATATTGGATGTGTTGCTGACAGCTGTCCTGCCCTTAAAAAACACACACCTGTTTTGGGTTTACTGGTTTCAAGAAGCACTGTCTGATGTGAACCATGCCTCGCAGAAAAGAGCTCTCAGAAGACCTACGATCAAGAATTGTTGACTTGCATGAAGCTGGAAAGGGTTACAGAAGTATCTCCAAAAGCCTTGATGTTCATGTGTCCACGGTAAGACAGACTGTCTACAAATGGAGAAAGTTTAGCACTGTTGCTACTCTCCCTAGGCGTGGTTGTCCTGTAAAAATGACTGCAAGAGCACAGCGCAGAATGCTGCATGAGGTAAAGAAGAATCCCAGAGTGTCAGCTAAAGACCTACAGAAATCTCTGGCACATGCTAACATTTTTGTTGACACATCTACAATAAGGAAAACATTAAACAAGAATGGAGTACATGGGCGGACACCCACGGAGGAAGCCATTGCTGTCTGAAAAGAATATTGCAGCACGTTTGAAGTTTGCAAAAGAGCACCTGGATGTTCCACAGCACTACTGGCAAAATATACTGTGGACAGATGAAACCAAGATTGAGTTGTTTGGGAAGAACACACAACACTATGTGTGGAGAAAAAAAGGCACAGCACACCAACATCAAAACCTCATCCCCACTGTAAAACATGGCGGAGGGAGCATCATGGTTTAGGACTGCTTTGCTGCCTCAGGGCCTGGACGGATTGTTGTCATTGATGGGAAAATTAATTCCAGAGTTTATCAAGACATTTTGCAGGAAAACGTACGACCATCTGTCCGCCAACTGAAGCTCCGCAGAGGATGGGTGATGCAACAGGACAATGACCCAAAGCATACAAGTAATTCAACAAAACCATGGCTGCAACAGCACAGAATACGCCTTCTGGAGTGGCCCAGTCAGAGTCCTGACCTCAACCTGATTGAAATGCTGTGGCATGACCTTAAGAGAGCGATTCACACCAGACATCCCAAGAATATTGCTATACTGAAACAGTTTTGTGAAGAGGAGTGGTCCAAAATGACTCCAGATCGTTGTGCAGGTGTGATCTGCAACTACAGGAAATGTTTGGTTGAGGTTATTGCTGCCAAAGGAGGGTCAACCAGTTATTAAGTCCACAGGTTCACATACTTTTTCCTCCCTGCACTGTGCATGTTTACATGTTATGTGCAATTAAACCATGGCAACATCAAATGTTTGTGTAGTATTATGTTCAGCAGACTGTGTTCTTCTATTGTTGTGACTTAGATGACGTTCAGAGCACATTTTATGCCCAATTCATGCAAAACTCCACGTAATCCCAAGGGGTTCACATACTTTTTCTTGCAACTGTAAATCTTATTAAAGCACACAAATAAGGTGAGGCTGTATGTACAGCAGTGAGGTGTGGTATATATACTTATATATGTGGTAGGGGTTCCATACCGGTATGAGTTTGTTTTTGATTTCTATGGTAATACAATAGAGTATGGTATTGAGTGCCCTCTTTTTGTGTTTTATTTGTTCTTTTCAGAGAGGCTACTTGAAACCACATGAGACACATATGTCCCCCTGGTTATTGAAGTCTGCCCTCTTTTAACATCACTCTACCAGATGTACGTGTTCCATCATTTATCTCAGGTAGAGGCGTGGTGTTTTTGACATAACCTGCTTGGAGTCACTCTCTATCTGTGGATTTGAGCTATATTGTAAATTTGGAGTAAGTATATTGTAGACTGGGAAGTGTAACTCACATATATTCAGTATTTGTTGAATGTTGAATTTGTTGAATATGTATTGGCGTTAGAGAATTGATAATATTGTGCCCATTGCTGCCTATCTGTGGTCTCTGTTGCATGTCTCCCCATAGCTTAGACCAGGGGTCCTCAAAATTTTTAAACAGGGGGCCAGTTCACTGTCCCTCAGACCATTGGAGGGCCGGACTATAGTTTAAAAAAAAAAAAACAAACTATGAACAAATGCGGACACAGTACAGGAGATGACCAGAGACTGCGGACATACAACGGTGGTGGGAATAGTGGGCCGGCTGCTCCATAAGACACACAGACATTTCCCCCGAAGTGTGTCATATGGAGCGAAATAGTGCCCCATCATTGGTGTCAGTGGGAGGAATAGTGCCCCATCATTGGTGTCAGTGGGAAGAATCGTGCCCCATCAATAGTGTCAGTGGAAGAAATAGTGCCCCATCATTGGCGTCAGTGGGAGGAATAGTGCCCCATCATTGGTGTCAGTGGGAAGAATCGTGCCCCATCATTAGTGTCAGTGGGAGGAATAGTGCCCCATCTTTGGTGTCAGTGGGAAGAAACGTGCCCCATCATTGGTGTCAGTGGGAAGAAACGTGCCCCATCATTGGTGTCAGTGGGAGGAATAGTGCCCCATCATTGGTGTCAGTAGGAAGAATCATGCCCCATCATTGGTGTCAGTGGGAGGAATAGTGCCCCATCATTAGTGTCAGTGGGAGGAATAGTGCCCCATTGTTGGTGTCAGGGGGAAGAGGAATAGTGCCCCATCGTTGGTGTCAGTGTGGGGGGGGGGGGGAATAGTGCCCTGTCATTGGTGTCAGTGGGGGAAGGGGATAGTGTCCCAACATTGGTGTCAGTGGGAGGAATAGTGTCCCATCATTGGTGTCAGTGGGAAGAATAGTGCCCCATCTTTGGTGTCAGTGGGAGGAATAGTACGTCATTGGTGTCAGTGGGGGAAAATAGTGCCTCGTCATTGGTGTCAGTGGGGGGGGGATAGTGTCCCAACATTGGTGTCAGTGGGAGGAATAGTACCCCATCATTGGTGTCAGTGGTCGAAGGAATAGTGTTCCATCGTTGGTGTCAGTGGGGGGTGGAATAGTGCCCCATCGTTGGTGTCAGTGGGGGGGAGGAATAGTGCCCCATCGTTGGTGTCAGTGGGGGGAGGAATAGTGCCCCATCATTGGTGTCAGTGGGAGGAATAATGCCCCATCATTAGTATCAGTGACACCAATGATGGGGCACTATTCCTCCCACTAACACCAATGATATTTAGCTTGCTGACCCCTGCTTGCAGCAGCACCTGGTTGCAGAAGCACCATCAGCACGGCACACTTACCTGTCAGCTGTCCTTCTTCACTCCAGCCTCTCCCTCACTCGATGTTCGCGGGGCCGCTTGGTTCCACCTCCTCGCAGGTAATTGGCCGCCTGTGTGCCTTTCCTGAGCTACAGTTCTGGCGCCCAATCACCGGTGAGGAGGCGGAGCTGAGCGACAGGAGTGAGGGAGTGGCCGGAGTGAATGAAGGAGCAGCGCTTCCTGGACTGGATCATCGTGGGACTGGGACCAGAGCCAGGTCAGGTAAAGCAGCCACCTGCCCACCCCTGTACTTAGTGTCCTTCTTCCTCGCGGAAAATACGTCCCTGCCGGCAGGCCGGATAAATGGCCTCGGGGGGCCGCATGTGGCCCGCGGGCCGTAGTTTTGAGGACCCCTGGCTTAGACGGGGGTTACTACATCCTGAGATATTTTGTATTGGTTTTGTATGTTTTTTTCTTTTTTTATGTGGGGTTTTATATCCATTTTTCTCTTCCTATGGGCCAGATGATGTTTTGATCATTTATGTTATATTACCTATGCATGTGTATATATATATATACATATATATATATATATATCCTATACATATCTGTTTCACTTATAGAGATGCTACAAATATTTGTCACACTTGAAACGCGTTATTATCGCCAACAACAAGTGTAACATTATCGCCAACAATAAGTGTAACTTTAAATTATGATCCATTCACTTTTTTAGTATATGTCGTTTGTTTTTATATTTTTTTGAATAAAAATTGTAATGATGTATTATAGAAATATATCTGTAATATTGATTTCTTATGTATATATACCGGTAGGTCACCCTTGAAATCTCTTTTCTTTTGTTGCTTTGCATCAGTTTGAATCCCAACCACAGCACTACCTGGATGGAGTTTGCATTTTCTTTCAGTTCCTCCCACACTCCAAAGACAGGTAGGTTATTCGACTCCTGTCTGAACTGGCCCTAGTATGAATGTGAGATGGGGATCTGAGACCGTAAGCTCCTTGAGGGCAGGGACTGATGTGAAAGTACAATATATATATAAATGCTGCAAAAATTGTTAGTTCTAAATACCTGTAATAAATAGTGACGGTGTAATAATACAGGATCAGCACTGGACAGCTCATCAAATATAGCTACTCATTGTTCATTTAAAGAGGACCTGAACTAGATGTTGTGCTCCAAAAAAAGCAAGCAGAGTGCAAAGGATTAGTCAGCAGTACTGTCTGTGATCTCTATGCAGCTGATCTTTTACGTATTACTGTGTCAGGCTCCGCCCAACGGGATCTCTAGTGGTCCACAGCACGGGGTCTCCCAGGACGCAGAGTCCAAGTCCCAGTCTGCCTTTTCACCAGGGCCCCTGATGGTGGGGATGGACTTGGTGCAAGACTGAGACCAGGTCGCGCCCCTGGGCACCCCCGGCGGTGGTAGAGGGGTCCCGCTGGGGGTATGTGCCCGGGATGAGCCTGCTGCGAAGGGGACGACAGGTCCGATCCGAGCGGATGGATGGGATGGCAGATTCCGATCCGAGCGGGATGGACGGATGCCAGATCCCGATCCGAGCGGGATGGATGGGTGACAGCTAGGAGCGAGCGAGGTCAGACTAGCCGGGTCGGTATCGTGCGGGCAGCGTGGTACAGGGGGAGTAAGCGGAGAATGGTCGGGGTCACAAGCCAGGATCAGCAGGTAGCGGGCAGCGCGGTACAGAGGGTCAGGCAGGAGGATGGTCAGGGACGAGCCGGGGTCAGAGCAGGAGAGGGTCAGCATAAGTCAGAACAGGCAGAGTTTGGCAACTAGGAAGCGTACTTACAGAATCAGGAACAAGACCTTGCGGCAACCTGGAGATGCACAGGGCAGCTTTAAATAGAGCGCCCTGCTCTCCCATTGGTGCGGCGGCGCGATCGCTACTGCGCATGCGCGGCCGCCGCCGCGATCGTCGGCTGGGACAGATCGGCCGTCTGCGCATGCGCGCGCACCGCCGAGGACCCGGGATCCCTGACATTGCCCCCCCCCCTACGGGCAACCTCCGGATGCCCAACCGACCCCTACCGAACGGCTGGTTCTGAAAAAATTCCCGCACAAGTCTTGGGGCGTGCACATTTTGGGCCGGCTCCCATGAATTTTCCTCCGCCCCATATCCTTTCCATTTAACCAGAAACTGAGTTCGGCCTCCCCTTCCTACAATCTAAGATAGCTTCAACTTCAAACTCCTCCTCCCCATCCACGTCTACTGCCTCCGGTGGTTTAGACCTTCGATCCGGGAAGGGATCTGGAGTTGCCGGTTTCAACAGGGACACGTGGAAGACCGGATGAACCCTCATAGACTCGGGCAGTGCAAGCTCGTATGCCACCTCGTTGATCTTACGTTTCACACGAAAGGGCCCCAAGAATTTGGGAGCCAGTTTCTTCGAAGGGCAGGGCATTTTCAAATTTGCGGTGGACAACCAAACCTGGTCCTCTGGCTGCAAACTCAATTCCCCCTTCTCTTCTTATCAAATGCCCTCTTATTGTCACCCTGGGCCTTAGCCATTGCCTCCTGCAATACCTTACTATTGGTTGACAAAAAGTTCAACATATCTTGCGTGGCCGGGACTGCGACCTCCGGGATCAGATCTGGCAGGAATACAGGGTGGAACCCGTAGTTTGCGAAAAACGGGGACTGTCCAGTAGCCGAGTGACTCGCATTGTTATATGCGAATTCCGCAAGTGGCAGGAGAGTAAACCAGTCATCTTGGAGGAAGGTGGTATAGCACCTGAGGTACTGTTCTAGGGTCTGGTTTGTACGCTCCGTCTGGCCATTGGTCTGTGGGTGGTAAGCAGAGGAGAATGACAGCTTAATTCCCAGGGTATCACATAAAGCTTTCCAGAACCTGGATGTAAACTGAACCCCTCTGTCAGATACAATATCCCTGGGAATTCCGTGGAGTCTTACCACTTCTGTAACAGCTCCAAGGTCTTACGTACCCCAAAGTGCCCGGCCAGTGGGTGATCATGGCAGTATCCCAATACCAAAGTACGGGCTTCCTCAGGGACCACAATCTGATTCTCCTTCCAGAGGAGTTTCCTCCCTATTTAGCAAGGGGACACCGGGTGGGCTTTGCATACCTACGGATGCGGTCTGCAATTGAGAATGAAGCTCTGATTGGAGGGCTAGGAAATTCCCTGGGGTCAGGATGGTGTCCGGCTTGGGACTCTCTTCGGGGTCCCCAAACATGCGGGAGAGCGCATCAGGTTTCGTATTCTTAGACCCTGGCCTATAAGTTATATGGAAAAAGAACCGTGAAAAGAACAGTGCCCACTGGCCTGACTGACGTGGCCTCAGACGTTTAGCTGTTCTCAAATACTCTAGGTTCTTGTGATCCGTGAAAATCAATATCGGGTGTACCGCCCCCTCTAACAGGTATCTCCATTCCTCTAGTGCCACCTTGATCGCCAAGAGTTCCCGATCCCCGATATCGTAATTCCTTTCAGCAGGAGTTAGTTTCCTGGAGAAGAAAGCCACCGGGTGCACAAGCTCTTTGATGCCCTTCCTCTGGGACAGGATCGCCCCGACCGCATTCTCGGATGCGTCTACCTCCAAGATATATGGCAAAGACGAATCAGGGTGGCTCAAAATAGGAGCTGCCGTAAACAACTCTTTTAAAGCTTCGAATGCCCTCTGTGCCTCAGGCGTCCACTGGAAGCGGACCCCCTGCCTGGTCAGCTGGGTTATAGGGGATACTAGGCCCGAAAAGTTCTTAATGAACTTTCTATAAAAGTTCGCGAAGCCAATAAAGCGTTGGACCGCTTTCTTATCGGTGGGGGCTGGCCAGTCTAAGATGGCCAAAACCTTTTGGGGATCCATGGCTATTCCTGTGGGCGAGATGGTTAGGCCCAGAAATGAAATACTCCTCTGTTCAAAACAGCACTTGTCTGCCTTGGCATACAAGCTGTGTTGGCGGAGCCGTTCTAACACGTGCTTCACATGACCCCTATGGTCCTCCAAGGTTGGGGAAAAGATAAGGATATCGTCTAGGTATACAATGACGAAGACATCCAGATAGTCCCTGAACACATCGTTTATGAAATGCTGGAAGGTGGCTGGAGCGTTGCATAGGCCGAAGGGGGCATAACCAAATATTCATAGTGTCCGAATCTGGTACGAAATTCTGTCTTCCACTCGTCCCCCTCTCTGATACGGACTAAATTATAGGCACCTCTTAAGTCTAATTTAGTGAAGACAGATGCTGACTTCAACCTCTGAAAAAGTTCGGGGACTAGTGGTAGCGGGTAACGGTTCTTCACCGTGACTTTATTCAAGTCCCGGTAATCTAC